GTGACTACTTCAAAGATTCCTCTGTGCCATGTTGGATGATTTCTCTGATATTGGCCAACGCGAGAGCCCGGTTTTCATTGCTCTTGCTTCTTTGATCTGTGCAAAGCCCGGGTTACAATTATAGATGTGTAGTTTATACGTACACGATGGACCTCGTATGATTTTAGATTCAACACATGTAGGTCAGGAGGTAAGATCAATCATGGTAGATGTATCCTCTCATCGCTCCATGTTGTGCCTTCTATTCTGACCCCGAAATGAAACTCAGCACCAGGACGCTTTCCAGAGGAACTACTGTCGAGGAATATGACACCTTTAAGGAAGAGCTTTCAGCCCCCGGGACAATTTAAAAGACAACACATCACTGCTATTGCTGGTCAAGCTCATCCGTACGAAATGGTTAAATACAGTCGTATCAACCAGAGAGAAGTCCAGCGCCTCCGGACACTTTTGTCCTCCTCTTGGGGGCCTCTGCATTGTTGTTCTCCATCCATCCTCCAGATGCCCTCGGACTTTTCCCACCTGTCTGAGGTCACCTGCTCGCCTCTGTCCACTTTCCGTCATCAGCTGCCCAATTGTCAACGTTGCTTTCTGTCCTTCCTTTTCAGATACGTGCTGGACCTGGACCTCCACCGCCAGCCTGTGAGCTGATGATCCTCATCTTCCTCAGTCTTTTTTTGGACCGTATGAATGTGGGTCTCTCCTACATCAATTTGGTCCCGGTGTACAACAATTTCATCCTGTTTGCGGACAGACAGGATAAGACACCTGTCTTATATCAGGTCAGATCACATTGAACGACGACCCTGCATTTTGATTGAGTCTGACCAATAAATCTCACCCAAATGTCCTAATGTCTCACTGTCATTTTCTCTCCAGCAGCACAAAAGCACAAGAGGTGGTTGGAATGAAAAGAAAAGACGCAAGAAAAAGGTCGGTGTGACAGCTGATTTAAAAATACAGTAAGAATAATGATTTCGCAGAAGGGAATCATCTTTTTTTTCCTGCCTCTCTCCTCCATTACAGCAGAAGAGAGAGATTTCAGATGAGGTCGGGGATTTACGCTCACTTCAAAGACTTTTTTTTCACACAAGCTTCTTACTTTTTTTTCCACTCACATTAAACAGACTTCATTTCCAAAGGCCAGCAATATTTCTGAGGCCCAACTTTCACGTCTGTGAGCCAAGAATTTAAGTGAGGAATACAGATTTTTACCACAATATTACAACGCCCTCAGTCATCTCTGCTGCAATGCTGGTTCTGACTTTAGCGACTCCTAAAACATAACACACTCATTTTTTCCCATTTTGCCAAATGAGTATTTTTTTTACTTTTTATTGTTTGTATTTTGTTGCAAATACTTTTGTCCTTTTGCTTTTGTGCACTATTGTGAATTGTGACTATTGTGACTTCTAAAAATCTTTAGACTATTGCTATTTTTATGTAAATGTCTGATTACCTCTAGTATCGACTGACTGAATGACTAATAATAATACTAGTTTTTGTTGTATTGTGTTAGAAAGGTAACAAAGGATCCTATGAAACAGCAGCACAATAAATAAATAAAACTATTTACTAAATTGTTTCAAAACAATTTAAACGGATAAGAGACTGGGTTTAGAAAATGTTGAGATTCAACTGATCTTCTGGTTCTAAAGTTTAAGAGCTCTTACTGAAAAATCTCCGTCACAGTTGAGTAATGAGAGCGCATGGCTTTGTTCGGGGAGGTCGTTCAATCACGAGGGGGTAGCGTGAAGCTCCGGTGAAGCTGCGCGCCTACTGCATGTGGCAGGTGAGGAGTAGGAGAGGCTGTCAGGACCATCTGCCCTGGATCTAACACATGCCTGTCCCTGCCCTCCCCAGGACAGCAGGGAACGCGAAATGTGAGGAAAGTGCAGAAAAGCAAAATGCACATTGGGAATCGCGATGGGATGCTCTTCTTTACAATAGTGCGATACGCATGGGGGGGCCGTGTTCATGGATCTGTGCACTTTGGATTGGTCAGTAACGGCGTGACGGGGGCCTCCTTCACACTGGGGTGGAAAGAGCCAGTGGACAGTGAGGTACCAAGGTACCAACAAACGGGTTGAACGTGTTGGCCAACCCCTAAGGAAGAGAAAAACAGTGGTGGGAGAAGCCTGGTTAGAATCACACCTAATGAGTGAGAGGTAGATAGATTTCACGTGAGAGATGGTTTCCTCGTGAGTGGAGAGAAAATGTGGCTCGAATCCAAACCAAGTATTTCCTGATATGAGGCGAAAGATACACTTTTACACATCTGTGCAGCTGTTGCTGCACTGCCTTCAACATGAGGCTCATATTAGGTGTATTCAGAGTTGACAAAGGCCAATTGTTTCAGCTGTATTGTATAAAATTTAAAATTACGTGGAAGACTGAAATGTTTTGTACTGCTGCGTAACTAAATTAAGTGTGTTTCTCTCACTGTTGAGAAATATTGGATACTTTAACCTAAATAAAACAAAGGTAAGTCCACATGAATGCTCACAAGCCACATAGGTTTATCTTTTATGTCTATTACCCATCTGTCCATCGAGGGACGAAGGCATCCCTCCTCAGTCACTCTTTATTAGGTTTTCCATTTTCCCCCCAGTAACGTTTTTTTTTGCAGGGGGGCGATTCGACCGAATTGAGGAAGGAACCCCCCCGAGAAAGATTTGTGATATTGGGCACATAAATACAATTTACTTGACATGAGGTTGCTAACCACAGGATTAATGAATGGCCCATTTCAGATATGGTTATTATGGAATTCATGTGTTCATCCCTCTAATGCTGCAGCTGGTGAAGATGAATTCAGTTATTTATTACTAGTTAGCTTAATGTTTATTGACGTATCATCATCGCTGCTTCCATGAATTCAATTCAATCTCCAAAACTCGTGCTTACCACACTTGTGATTCCACCAAATGACTTTACTATTGATTCAGGTAGTAATGATGGCGTGTAAAGTGATCGTAAAATCCAACGTATCTGCTTTCCTTTGGGAAGATGAACGGACGAGTGATGAGTGTCGCGACATGAACTCAGAAGCTGGCATTAGACGTGGAGATGTTCGTCTCCACGTCTAATACCTGTGCTGCGTCCACAGCTGCGTGGGCTCGCGTACGACGGGTCTGGACAGCCGGGTGACCGACTCCAGGAAGCCTTTGCAGCTGTTAGCCGACGTGACTCCACCAGGAGAGCAGCAGGGGCCGGCCGGCGTTACCGGAGGAGGTCTGGTGTGGTGTGTGTAACCTTTGCTCGACCCTTCGCTCCGAGCGCGTCTGCGTCGTGACAGCTTATTTTATTCCTCATTCACGCCCGCGTTGAAAGATGTGCTGATAACAATGTTATCCTGGTTTGCTGTGTGAGAAGAGGAATATTAATTAGACCATATATTTCCAGGAGGAAAACGTGTGGGCGAGCTCCTAGCATCTGGAAGTATTAAAGGGAGAAGAAAAAAAAAACATTTAGATGTTTCCAAAAGTGCTTATCACTGCTAGAGGAGCCAATGTGGTAATTATTGTGATGTGTATATATATCACAATAATTACCACATTGAATCCTCCGGCAGTGATGAATAGACGTTATTTAAGATACCACAAACTAAATATATATATATCAATGTTTAGTTTGTGGTATAAGTTGATTTATGCTTCACTTTTCATGCAGTATTGAATAATGTTCTCCACAATAAGACAAAATCCAAAGGTTTCATAAAATAGTGGTACATGAAATAGATACGAAAAATTAAACTAAACAAAGGCATTACCAGCCCGGCCAGCTGTTTACCCTTTTGTCTTTATGCTAAGCTGCAGTGGTGAAACATAAGTACATTTGGTCAAGTACTTTACTTAAAGGGACAGCACATATCTAAATCCAAAATTCCCATTTTTTCCATCTACAAACAAAATCAGGTGTCATGATCACCTTTGCTAACCAAACCAGTCACTTGACCTGGGAAACAACCCCAGTTCTGTTAACGTCTCGCCTCGGGTTCTCTGCTTCAGGACAGGCCAAGTGGGTTTGCTGATCTATTAACCCGAACAACCAAATTACTTAAGGTAGTTCGCGTGTAACCAGCCATCTGCGTCCACCCGGTGTTCTCGGTACTTTCCATCCATTTCATTTCTTCTCCTGGTTATTTTGTTTGGCCTTTTCTGACAGGAGGGTTGATTAATTAACTAACTTCTTGCCTGAAAAATAATTGCCAAATATTTTGATGGTATAAGTATGTAAAGATTTGTGGCTTTTAATGGTGTTTGTGATGTTTTAGTGATATTGAGTGAGGTTTGGACTGTTAGTTGGACACAACTTAATTCATTTGAATAAGTACATTCATCCATGACAAAAATAATCACTATGCGCTTTGCCCGAACTAACAAGGACAGTTTACATAAACTATAGAAATTACATAATGATAGAATAGAGGACATTTTTCTTCCCTTTCTTCTTAAAGTATATTTTCTTGCTTGCTTTGACTGTGCAGTAATAGTAGCCTACTTTACGTGTCAAATCTAAATGCTTTCCGCTACATAAACCAAGCTGGTCTGCAGACGTGTGACCTTTATCAATCTCTAATCTAAAGAGCGTTATAAGCCTATTTCCCCCAAAATGTAGTGCAGCACATTGCAATTGAATTTTCCGGCCCCGCGTGTCAGCAGGTTCATCACTTTCTTAAACCCTTGTGGAAATGCAAATCAAGTGTCCCGGCTAAACCGAATACAGGCTTTGTGATTTTAGGCTAAAAGGTGTGCAGGAGTGATAAGGAACGCTTGTTTTTGTGACCTTGAGGACTTTCTGAACCAAGGTGAGGGGGGAAAAAACTGTCCGTGTGAATTAGGAGTTGGAAGAGGAAAACACCGATAAGCTGCTTCTACCACACATGACGCCTCGAACACAGGAGGACCCCACCAGCCTGGGTCTTTAATTGAGCCCCCTCCCTTCCTCTCCTCCTCTCCTCCTCCTCTCCTCCTCTCCTCTCCCCTCAGTCTCTCTCTCTCTCTCTCTCTGGCTGGTCTCAACTTCTCACCGACTCACCGCCGCAGACGGTTCGCGGGCTGGATACGACGAGCAGCTTTTCCACTTTTGCAGAACAAGAACATGGCTCTCCTGCGCGGAACCCCTGTGACCTTGTTTCTCCACCTGTGCCTCCTCGACTGGAGCGGTGAGTTGAAGGAGCGGAAAACGAAACGCGCCATTTCTCTTGGCGGCGAAGTTCTTGAAGTGAAGGTGCGCGGCCGTCGCGTGCGAATTAAGCCACAAATTGTGCCTTTTTCTCGGATGCCGCCATCAAATGTTTCTGACGTTTTAAGGACAAAAATGACTCGTGCGCGGTTTTATTCATATAACTTTAAAGTTTTTTTTTGTTTAGTTGTTAATTAGCAGTTCGCCTGTTAGTGGTTCCCAGCTTCGTCGGTGCACTGGAGTTAATTAGCTACCACATAACGAGCGGAATAAGCGCACGTTGAACGTGTGTTGCTCGCCACTAATTTGAGACTTTGCCCCACATCTCCGCGCTGCTTCCAGTTGTTTACACTCGAGAAGTCTCGGAGTCGCAAAGTAAATAAAGGTGTTATTAATTAACGCGTAATTACCGGGAACCCACCGACGCGTTAATTAACTGCATTCTACCTTTGAACAGATCTCACGTCACGTGACAGTTTCTCTTTTTTTAAATTATTTTGTTTTAGAGGATTTTGTCGTAAACTCTTTTGCTGCAGAGTCTGGGTAAGTTATCAAAGATTTAACAAGGCTGCTGTGCAAAAAAATCCCCGAAAAAACCCATCTAAAGAACCACAGACCGCTAACTCGGTTCTCTCTGCAGGACACGTTGTGGTCTTTGTTGTCCCTCAGGCAGAGCCAGCCAGTAATAGCAACATGATGTGCAGACGCAGGTTATAAAGACACGGACTGCACACTTTTCCCCTGAAGGACTTTCAAGGATCAGGAGTTGCAGCCTCTATTGAGATATTTTCTTTTTAACTTCAAATAACTGTTTCGGTTCGGATTTTTTGGGGGGGTTTGGGATAAGTTTCCACAGTAGCCCCAGGACATATGAACCAGACCCGGGACTCGAGGGCTCGTGTAGCTGCAGCATCGGTCCACCGCTGCCTGACCTCTGGTCCTCCTGAAGTAGTGTTATTATGAGGCAAGTGGCTTATCCCAACATTTGCATCCGCCAGCTCACGTATAACACACTTATAAAAAGCAGAGATTATAATCAGGGGTATTCAGATGGTCGCAATCTGCAAACATCCCACTAGATGTCACTGAATCCTCCACACCGTCCCTTAAAAGTTAAAACTGCGTGACCTCGTCTCCGGAAGCCCGAGGTCGCGTCCTCAAATGTCTTGTTTCTTTAGTCCTAATGTCCCACAATCCAATTAGATGCAATTTAGACAATTTAGATACAATTCAGTAAGACTGATTAATCGACCAATTGTTTCACTTATCATATTGTTTGCGGCACAGTAACAAACGTCAGGAAATGTTAAGTTGAGGGTTTAGGCTGTTACGTAGCTCTGACTGCTAATTGGAACTGAAACAATTAGTCAAATAACAGATAAGCCGGTTTAACAAAAAACAAATTGGACGTATGAAAGAGATTTTTGAAATGTTTTAATCAATATTGAGAACAATAAAACAATGAATTCCCATGTGAAACGTTTTCTTCCCCCGCTGCTATTCTCGAAGGCCGACCTCATGTTCACCGATAGATTACCTTCAGGCTGAATTAAATGTAAACCTTCTTCTCCTCGTAGCATATCACAACAGGACAACACTCACTGTGTCCCGACGTTAAACCTCTTTTTCTCTTAAATCCCTGTTTTTTTACTCCATCAGCCTTGTCTTAATTGGGTTACCGCTATTTAATCCTCATCTCCCCCGGACCTCCCCTGGAGACGGAGTAAAGCTGTCTGTTTTTGGATTAGGTCGTTGCTTACTGATAGAGACCCCGGCCCTCTGAAGAGCCTCCAAGCAAGCTCCCTCAAAACTGACCATCTCCCTAATGGAGTTTGAGGGGGCACTTACTCAAATACACTTTGTGGCTAAAAGCATCTCTCCTGCATGGAAATGAAAATGTATCCATTTTATGAGGGAAAAAGAAACCCTAACATGTCCCGTGGCTGATGGGTTGTACACCCACATACTCCATATTGATCTCACAGACCAGTGTTCATCAGTATGATGGGCATGTTGTGTTACAGGAATGGACGGGTGCAGTGAATCAGTAGTAGTGGCAGAGCTTCTAAGAGGACACTTACGGAACAGATAGTGGATACTCGCTCGCTCGCTCGCTTGATTCATGCCTTTATGTAATACAAAAGATTTTTCATCCGTCGGGGGCATTTTAAAGCTCTGAGGGGGCCTTTAAAAGTTTTTGTTCCGTAAAAATATCCTTTGGGATCCCAAAATGGTATGATGAAAGGGAAACCTAAGCATGTTTTTAACCTCAAACGATTTAATGAGTATCTAGATACGTGATGCAATAATGATGCAGACACATTTGAAAAAACAAAAACACCACAAATCAAACTGCAACTCTGCTGAATTTGTTGTTCTGACTATTTGCTCATTTGTTAGCACAGAAATACCCCAGAAGATTCTGTCCAGTGGATGACAGGAGCAGGTAACTTATTAGCCACTCAGGAGGAGGAGAGTTCAGCCAAATGCTGCCAACTCGCAAAATCAACACGATGGTGCATGTAAATAACACGGCTCATGGCCTAATTGCCTTTTAGAGGTGGGTGATATTCTAAAGTGTCCTCCGTATTGTCAAGAAATCCCATTAAAAGCTCTAAATCAGCATTGGATTATTAACTATTAACGAGCTGGTTTCATGTAAAGCCTGATCTGAGCACTATGTCCCTTTTTTTAGGGCTCGATCCGAGATTGCAGGTTGCGGTTGCACATTACTTGCGCTGCCCGTCGGCTGAAGTTTAAAATGTAGATGGTTACGAAGTCGTAGCCAGAAACGTAGCTAGGATTGCTCAATAATCACATTTTCAATGTGAAAAAATGTAATGTTTGCATGCGGCAACATCCTCATTTAGCTGGCTGTTTTAGGAAATGACTTAACTTTTTTTTCAGTACCTGTCTTCAGATGAATTTGGACAGCTGCCTCGGAGAGACGATGTCGGAGCAGGTTGACATTTTAACGGTGCTGGGACTGACACAATTTAAGACAGCTTTGAGTCATAAACAAAAGCATTGTCTCTCATCTGAAGACATTCCAGCAGGGACATGGTAGCTTACCACTTTAGTCCAGCAAAGCCTCCACGAGACAACTGACGTCCTCCTTGATGGAAAGCTCTCTGATTCTAACTGAAGTTTTCTTTTTTTTCGGTTTGATCTTGTCATGTCACTGGAGTTCTTCACGAGTCCCTGTTTTATAAAATGCACACCTGATGAGGTTCTTCAAAAATATGTGACTGATTAATCATTCACGTCCTTTACGATGCAAAAAGGTCAAACCACATCTCATTACAGGTGCCCAAATGTTCAATTGTATATCATCTGTTAAATATATTATTATTATTATATATTTGAAATAATTATAAATAATTGCCAAGTTAATAAACCATAAGAATTAAGAGAAAAATGTTAAACCGTAGCTTTAAAAAATGTGCTTTGACTGCCAGCTCTGTTCAATTGTAAATATTCTCGGGGAGCAATTAGTTTCATTGTGATTTACATAAAGCCATTGACATTCTTGAATTCTATTCAGAATAATACATTTAATTAAATGAGAACCCTCGAACTACCAATCTTGTAATTGAGATATTAAAATTGTTTTTGACTTCAAGGTCAGACTGAAATGAAGATGAAACTACACTTCCAATAAATGTGTTGAATATTCAACTGCCAATCATCACTGCCAAGGCTTCCCTGTTACGCACGTACAGCACCCCCTCAGATCAGATTATTTATTTATACATGCATGATATTTAGGAATACTTCCTGCTTAGCTGTGACTATTGAGACGTCATCAATCATTCATTATTAGCCAGATAAGAAACGGGTTTCTGTATTAAGTAAAGTAGTGAGGGATCCAAACGTGAGTGGTAGGGTTTCCCCGTGAGTCAATCCCCTTGCGTAAATAATGGCTGCTCTCCCTGACCTCTTCTTCATCCTCCTCTGAGGCGGAGCGCCTGAGAATACCTTCACCCAAGTGTGCAGCTGTTGGCTGCAGTTGTCCGTGTGGGATTAGCGCATTTGCCTGAGTGATAGCCAGGCATGACAGCCCAGTATTGTAATGTATTGGCTCCTTGTTTTCATTAAAGAGAGTGTTCCGTTTGATCCCTGTGGCACTAAAGGTGCCCCGCGGTAGCATTAGGCATGTGTGAGCTAATTCAACTAACATGTATGTCAGCGCATACGGTTCCTCCTACTGAGTCTTTTTAGTACTTTCACTGATTATTCAAGTTAAAGTGAGCTTTTGTCTCCACGGACCGAACAATACGTAATAAATAGAGGCAAGAGGTCACATCCCTTTGTTAGCTTTACACTACTAAGCGCTTGGTGAAGGAAAGATGGTAGTTTTTTTTTGTCAGTACATTCTTCAACACTTAATGAAGCAAATTAGTTGTTGAGGTGTCCACCAACACAACGTGTTTGATTGAGTCAAACAGAGATACGATTCAAAGCAGACATTGATTTCTTTGAAAAGCACTTCCTTTGTTGTCTTTCTGTGATTTTACACCCGTGCATAAACTGAAGATCCAAGACATCAAAGCTGTGGGTGTTTAGCTGGCATGAGCCGAGCTGACATCCTCCCTCAAGCCCAAATTGAAGGGTTTTCACTGGCCTTGTGTTGCATGTGTAGTTGTAACTCTGCAGTGAGTCGATGGTTGACGTTCGAGGGGGATTTCACATCCAACAGCTGCCTCTGTAGTTTGATCCCTGCCCTTCTGGGACCGAAATCCTCCCTCATCGAGTACCTCTCTGGTGCTGAAAAACTGCAGAGAACATCCATGACTGCTGTGCTATTCAGAGCACATCATTCAGCTTGAGTGAAAGATCTATACAGGGAACAGCCCGCCCCAGAGAAGACGGAAAGTGTCTCAGGAGGCCCGAGGTGGTGGTTTAAAGCATTCTCAATCAAGACGAGGGATGTAGGAAATCACTCATGAGAGGGAGAGAAACATCCGCTTGCATTTGGTA